ATAGCTAGCTTAAGAATTGTAGCCTTTGAGAAACGTCTACCAATGAAATCCACTTCCCGAAGCGGTGTTCACCGCCACGTAAGACGTGCTAATTACATGTGACAGTGGAGTCTCGAGTACGCAACGAGGACTCGCTCCTCCTAAAACGCAGTTACGAACCCTTCTCTTCCCCTGATCATAATCACCTACCATTTACAATCATCATTGCCATCAGCATCTACCATAATAAGCGATTGTAACATCATTTTTGACACTGATGCTTCATTTCCAAGTCACACACTGTTCACCTCGCAGTTTGCGCCATTCTCAAATGAAACAGGAAGACTAGCACTCTTCTCGGTAGACGTAATTTCGGAATGCGCAGTATGTGACCGAGCCTTCACTGCTGATGGTGTTGGATACTGTCCGTTGGATGATGGTGTTAGATACCCACTTCGTAAGCATCCCATTACGAATTCGTCGATGGCGTCCGATACCAGCAACGCAAACATTAGGAGAACTCAAATCATCTTCTGCGGAGCTCATACCTCTCAACCGCACAGCACAGCCCTTGCTGTAGCCCGGTACATGCGATCCCTAAGACCCAGTATTGAATAACTGATAATTCCTCCGTTAATTTGCTTACTCCGTCCATGTACTTTTGACCTTCACTTGCTTTGCTAATCTGTACCCGGCATTCGCCTTGCTTCAAAGGCAGTCCCGTCCGACACTAGTACATTAGCATGTGTGGTCCACGCAACCGACCTTACCCATGCGTGTCTGTGGCTCGTTTGCTGAGCCTATCCTGACTTGTTTTGTCACGAGTTCCGCGTAGTTGCACCGCCAGTCAGAATCACGAGAGTGGCATCGGAAGGGACGACCACAACCTACTCAACACAGTCAGCATTCCCCTCGCCGCTGTTTGGTATGCGGACCTTGGGCCTGCACTGTGCCAGTCAGCGACAGACTTGTGCAATTTTGACACCATGAAAGTGGACAATTGAGGTTTGTTGTATAACTTTGTTTGTGCCAATTGAACCGCAGACTTTTGAACCAACTTCTTCCTTTTAATATTCGGAATCGTCAAACCTACGCGTCACTCAAAGTTCTGTATCGGGAAACTCAAGATCCAGTGATACAGCTTTCTTACACAACCTCGAAACTCCTTGGATTGTGTGTGGCACGCTCCATTCAAAGCGATTGCTAAAAAGCGGTACGACCTTGATATGTCCATTTAAAAACACATGTGCCTTCTTTTCCTCTTCCAAAAACTATGGCGTACGTATATCCCAGGACGAGAATATGTCCGCTAGAAACTATCGGAACAATGTTTTAAAGACTTAGCGTCCGTCTCACCGACCATAAAGTTGAATAGGCCTGGAGTGGATGGGCATCTGTGTCGGATACCATTCTTTGCACGAGAACTTTTATAGGACCCCCGCATCACTTCACATGCCCAGAAGTTTGAGAACTGTCGGGCATTCCTGGCTGTGTAATTGTGATGTGAACAGACCGCTTTGGAAATCCAGGATTGTTAACAGTGAGTGTCACCTATAGGTTTCAGTACCTGACGGAGTGTGAAGTGGTCAACGCAACTCCAGCAGGCCAAAACGCAACTGGCTGCTCTGGAGTCGATGCTTTCAAGAACCCTTACAGGGTGATAAATGGCTACTGGCGCCAAGGGACTTGTCATAACAGAAGTCAAGATTATTCCATTCCCCTGTGGTTGTCGCATTCAATACCAGTTCCTTTTTGAAAACAGGCACCATTACCGGTCCTTCCCAGATGAAAACAAATAGACCAGAGACAAACACTGACTGAAAACCTCAGCCTCACCATTGGATAATTGGAGCGAGAGGTTACCCAGAAAAGGAACTCAGTGTTCCCTGAGAGATATATAGTCATGAAGATGGTTGTGCCAATGTGATCGTTGATGATTTCGCACACTGGCGGTTTTGAGGACCGTTAGCACTGACAAACTGAAATGACCTACGGGCACTCCTCGCCTCTTCCATTTCCTTGGACCTCTGTGACTAACAGGCCTCATGGTTAACGCGCACACTGATTTCCACTTTTCGTGCGATAGTTCGCCGGAGTAGACCACGTTTTGGGCTGGTAGGAACATCTCGCTGAGATTCAAGTAGTATCAATGCTCTGTCTGGCGCCCAGTGTTTGAGTGAGTCTGGCGGTACCGTGCCACAGTCGAAAGTGAGAGAAGAGTGCTGGGAAGATTCGCTTAACGACAAAGCTTGGATCTTGGATTCTTGTTACCTACATGCAGCATACATCAATTTAGAAATTGATGTCGTTTGCGAATAAGAGTACTCTGTTGTTCTACTAAATTCAGTGCGTAACATTTTAAGGAGCCGGATAAGTAGGGCATCGAAGCCTGGAGATTGACTTCCGGATGCCCGAGTCTGTCGGTGTCGACTGACGATACAAGGTCAACGCTAAGACCATCATTCCTAAGGTATTGGCCTATAGGGTGGGTATCACTTAGGGGATGAAGTAAAAAGCAATAGTATGTGAAACAGAGGAGAGGCATCAACGATAGCGTATTTTCGTTCACCCACTCTGGTGTATGTTGCCTGTAAGGCGATCGGCGGGTGACACGAAGTGATGGTTGATACGGTGAGCGATTGTCTCCGGTTGTGGGAATCATGGTTGTACGCCGGCCGGGAGAATGCCAAGTTGCCCACACATAGCTCTGTGGAGGATTAGCTCCATTAACTAAATCCGGAACTCAAACAAGTGGTGCTTGGCGACAAGTGCTTTTGCGTTACATTTTTAAGGAACATGTCGGCTCTTTGATGACTTATAGCTCTTATATCGCTGCTTGAAACATATCTCCTCTTGTTACCAGGTCTAAAAGTTATCGAGGCTTTAAGCCCGAAGTCTAGGGGCGTTGCAGCAAAATTGTTCATGTTGGACGGGTCAGCAAGGATTCAAAGAGAGGACGTGTTTATAAGACGAGTGAAGTAACTTGGAAACCCAAGTAACTAGACATAGCTTTGAGTTCTATAAGAGACTGATCGGTAACAGCAGGGATCATAAAACACGGGTTACAATGTTGAGCCAATCGTCTGCGGTTAGATGGTTGTTTACGCTATATCCTAAAGAAGACTGTGTATTTTCTTCAGGATGAGATAAATAGGCACTTTACCCCGTGTCTTTGTCAGGGCCACATCGAAGAATTCTGCACAGTCCTGGTAACCAAGACAGCGGTCATGTTACAGGACAAAGGTTTCGCCCTGTTCATCACATTTCCATCGCAGTTCGCCTAAACAAAAACGAACTGATGCACAATGTGGGTTATCTTTCTTGACCCTAGTAGTAAAATTTCAACGGAGATCTCTACAAGGCCAGGTGAAACTGTCAGCGTGGATTTTATGTGAAAACGAACGATTACCGCCAATGAGCCAGCCAGAAATCTCGCACAACTGCAGTTAGGTCGAATGCTAGAAGCACTTTGGGTGGTGAACTGTTGAATGCACAGATTAGGTATCGGATGAATTCGCATCAAGAGGAACCAACATAGCACACGGTCAGGCGCGTAATTGCTATGTATCGTATGATGGAAGGATCCCTGACAAAATCATTCGTGTTTGTCAGTAACGGTTGACTACTTCTGCCTGCTGAGTTAAGACGACTGAAATTCAACTAACTGCTTTTGCCATCTTCTCTAATGTTTGGCCATATCTACCCTGTTCTCCGATTTTTCGGTGGCTGGAACTGTGGCAACTGGAACAAAGATTTCTGTGACACATGACGTATAGCTGGAAAACCGAAATGGATGTAACTTCGACATTCCAATTCAGTGCGCCTAAACCTATTGAGGTCCCCCGGAACGACCTGAAGACTACTTATAGTGCTGCATTTGCGTATGAATGACCCGTACCGATTCACGACGACGCATGTCCACAGAGGTCGATGAAGCCTGATTTCCACAGTTCACTCCACGTGCACTTCAGTAGTAAGTTAAATAGAAAAACAGTGATGGGGGCGAAGAAGGCGAGCAGTGAATACAGACATTGATGAGGTGTCTCCACTTTCCATTAGAGTGCATCGAAGATACACTCCCGTAACACCATTGTATCATCGTCGACACGCATGCTAGAGCCTAAGAAACAGTACTTGCGGACGGAAAAACGAACAGCATCAGGAATCGGAAACAGCAAACGCAAGGCACAGGGTCCCTAGAAAACGGACAACCTTGACACCGACTGACCGTGTACGGTCAATCGATTGTTGTGCATGAACCTATGTTTTCTTTGCATCTTATTAACTGATTCACTGGAATTAACGTGCCTACGATTTCAAACAACCAGCTTCTCAGTTTTTTCTCTCACGGGGGTTGACTAATTTTCCTGGAACGAACCAGGAAACCAGTGGTTAAAATAAGTGCATCACAGAGCTACACGACCATTTGTGGCAATTCGTCAGAAACGGTCCAATAAAACGATTCCTAATTGAAATACCAGATTCAGCTTTCGAACTCAATATCTGTTTAGAGCACCTTAGCCGTTTAGCTTTATACACTACATGACTGATACTTATTCGTTCCATGGAGAAATCACGGACAAGCCTTCTATACCAGGCAATCTGCAGCACTAGGTCAGCGCAACCGTAAACGGAAAAAAGACATGTCCAAAGTGGAAACCAACTCACTGGAGCACGTAGATACTGTACGGAAAAGCGTATCGCAAGGCGATTGCGGTGATCACCAGTTCAATACAGACAAGCACGTTCTTGCAACCAGCGGCAAGCAATCCAGCGGGGTAACCTTGGCTACCACTGACAACGTGGCTCCACTCCAAAATGCTGAATAAAACGTCTGAAGGAGAGAATTGGAAATCGCACAAAAAACCAGGGTGATGGAGAAAGGGCCATCGATCAAGCTAAACAATCCTGGTCCTGGTGATCATAAGAACTATAACATTAGAACAGTGAGGAAAAAACCAGCACTGCAAAGCCCGACTAGACTTTTCAGTTATGAGATATGTCAGTGCTGGGTCTGCCAAATCGCAATGAAGCCCCGAGATACTGGAACCCCATAAAACGGCCCGAAGTGATGTTTATTAAAAGACCACAGGTCAAAGGTCGATAATGTGTAATTCAGCTGAGTACTGAACACAACGAAACTCTGGACTGCTAGCTCACTTTCTATGAGGACCAACTAAGTTGTCAGGATATGAAGGTTGGTCACTTAGGTCTGCAACCGAGTAAATGTCACTAGGCGGTACAAATGAATGAGTCGCAACCATGTTTCAGTTGACTGATGACTTCATGATCCTATGAAGTGACGCATTGAACTAGAACCAATTTACGCACCACTACCTGCAAAGGAACAATATCCCAACTGGAATGCTTACTGAGAGCCCAATATCAGGGTAACAAACCAAGAAACTCCTTGAAGGCAGAGCAACAAAGGCCACACATTGAAACCCAGAGGCGTCAAGGCCAGAGGTCACTCCACCACCGACCAGTGTACGAAAGAAGGAGAGGTCACGTGGTCGTCGATCATGACACAGGATAACAGACCAACGAATGGAAGCGTCTGACCAAACAACCAATCGTGAACGAAAGTCAGCCGCGGCTAGTAGCACGTATATCGATATACATGCAACACTACTCAACGCAAAACCACGAACCCACCGCTATGCTCCACTACGCTCTCAAAAAACACACTGATGATGTCACCTCGAATGGTGATGAAGCCTTCGCAATCAAACTGCCCAGCCCAGCGAACAAACCGACGACCATCGATGCTACCTGAGGTAACAACATTTTCCACCATACCAGGGAAATGGACTGTCGCGCGACAAATCGGGTAGATTTCATCGTAAGGAAATTTATGGGCTAGTAGCCGTATATCGATATACATGCAACACTACTCAACGCAAAACCACGAACCCACCGCTATGCTCCACTACGCTCTCAAAAAACACACTGATGATGTCACCTCGAATGGTGATGAAGCCTTCGCAATCAAACTGCCCAGCCCAGCGAACAAACCGACGACCATCGATGCTACCTGAGGTAACAACATTTTCCACCATACCAGGGAAATGGACTGTCGCGCGACAAATCGGGTAGATTTCATCGTAAGGAAATTTATGGAGCAGGAAATTTTGTCACTCGACGTCTGGTGAAACAATGTCTCGATAGAAATTCTGTGGCCCTGGCAAGAGGAAAAATTCAACACATACGAGGACCTATCCGCAAAAGTTTCAATCGAACTTAAATATGCCGCTGAAACGCCAGCTCGAGCCCGGTTAATACCAAAATATCTAATTGTTCGGTAGCAATTGGCATGCCAGTATTATGCCCTTTCCAATAAAGTTTGTCGTATAGCCTAATTGTCCAGGTTTTGAAAATACGTGGGTGTAGTTGAAAAGCCAGTTTGATGCGGCTAGTTCTTCAGAATTCCGTTGTTGGCTCTAGAAAAGTCGAGTTCACCAAAGCAAACAAAACACTACAGGAGATAGATTAACCGCTGGTTCCCGATCACTACGCGAAGCAATTTGCCGTTCTGAGAGTATTGTGTGTGGCACTTGTGCTGCAACTCGATACTTGCGAGCAACAAAAGCGGCACATGAATGAGTGGGATTTTTCTTTGGCATCCTTCGTACCCTGGTTTTTTGACACCTTCTTCAAGCAGGTTCAGATTTTGTATATTGTAGCTGCGCACGCAACAGGAACGGAAACATTAGTCTCGTGTGGATCCGAATTTCCCTCAGTGAAGTGACTAAGAGGGATTCACACAATCCATGCAAACTGATATACCACAACACGTCCACACAGAAACAGTCTAAATCACCCATACTGCGTGCGGTCAGGGTTCTGGAACAACCTATGTTCGACGCTCGGAATCAAGCTACCGGATGAGCACAGAAACATGTAATAACAAGCGCGATGTTGCCATGCTCTTCACGTTCTTCCGCAATAAATATGTACGGTCGCAGCGTTCTTCTGATATCTCTGTGAAGATGAATAAAAATGTGGAATTTCGACATTCAAAATGAGATAGAGATTAATTCCAAACGAAAGTAAAACAGATGGTGTAACGACGGCAGACGTTCGTTCGGTCCTAAATATGTTGCTGTTTTTCAGGTCTACTGGTTATATGTCGCCTGCCTTGCCTTAAAAAAGAAATAACCATCTTCTGGAGACTGGTTACCACTTATGGCTCAGAGTCGCAGTACTCACGGGTTATTGCATACCACAATTCATGGATTACTTCTCTGTCTACGTGAGTTCTTGTGACTGGGTGTGGCATACGAGGAGATAGTGAATTTCTATCGATTGCCTAACATCGAACGCTGCTGCACCTGTGCATATGTGCGTTTCACTAACGTGAACAAAGTTCTCTATAGGCACTATGGTAATGTATATATCGACTTTTTTAGTGGCCGCGCATAATCAGGACGTGTTGTCCGCACGCAGAGCACAAAGAATGAGCACAATAGCTGGGTGGTAGACATGACTGAGTTGAGCCGCAAAGACTGAATTCGCTCGATCGACGGTGTGTCTACGTCACTAAGTACCATGCGCAACAATCGGATGGACATCTATGTCCAAATATGGGGCAAGCACCGATCGACATGAACGCCGGAGAAGATTGATCTCCAAGATGAAGTGCCACTCGTTATGGTTAGTTCACCACTCTCAACAAAATAACTTGGGACGTTTGAATAACCCAACGGACGGCTTTGTAACGAACAACTTCTGTCTTCTGTGTGGGATCCTGATATAGTTTATGAAACATATGAACTTCAGTAAGAGGAAAGATTCAGAGGCGGAGTCGAATCAACCGTAATGTTAGAAAGTTGTGCTATGTGGCATGCAGAGAGCATGACCCCGCCGAAGTAGCTATCCAGGAAGTTGAACGGAAGTATACATAAGTGCGAGTGGTTCACGGGAGGAACTGTAGGTAAATGAGCCTCGGAGGTTTACGACTGCATATGTTCACTCAAGCGCCACCGAGCTCCCGGTCCGGATGACCTCCCACCCTTACTGTTCAAAGACGGGAGTGAAGTCCTCAGTCAACGCTTGTCTGATCTGTTTTGCTTGCATCTTGGAAAAGGAGTCTGTCCCAGACAACCGGTGATAATGCCCATTTCCAAAAAGGGGCGCGTAGTGAGTGTGGTAACTACACGGGGATCAGCTAGACCACGGTCGTGACGAGACTGTTCGTGCCAATTGTGCTTCGTTGCCTTACGGTGGCTCGTGAGCTACTGACCCGAGAGCAGCAAGCGGGATTCCGGCCTGGTAGGGGTTGCGTTGACCAAATCCTCACACTGCGTCAGGTGCCAAAACAACACCATACAAGCCATGCAAGCCACCCACAACTTAGTATTCCTGGATTTCCAAGACGCATTTGACTCGGTTGATCGGTCTGTTCTTCTTCACACACCTGCCCATCAAGGAATGCCCCGGACGTTTGTAAAAATAATACGTTCTTTGTACTCTCAGACTTCCGGACGTGTGAGAGCTCTCCAAAAGCTTCCGTACACAAAGCAGTGTCCGTCCTGGATGCCCACTCTCTCCATTCCTTTTTAACTTTGTGATCGATGAAATGATGAGACGAACGCTGCAGGGTCTCCGGAACCCTGGTGTTCAAATAGCCTGTGAAGAAAACCTTGACGATCTGGAGTACGCAGACGATGTCGTTCTCATGTTCGAAGAGGAGGAGAAGGCGCAGGTGTTTTTGGATGGACTGACCAAAGTCATCCCGTCCTTTGGTATGCACTTTGCACCTCCCTAAATCTACGCCGAATTTCCAAATGATCCAAATAGGTACCTCCATATATTTTCTTCCTCCCGACTGGACTTCACGCTATTCAAGGTGTTACTCTTGGGCGAAACATTTTGTTATCTCCACCATGTACAAGATCTACCTCGGTTCGAAGTTTAGTTTGAAAATCCCTATGATTAGCTTTCTGAACTGATACTGATATGCAGTACACAGAAAACCTTAAACCTAACGTAGTCAACTACCATTACCAAAGAGAACTCTTGAACACGGTAGGTAGACAGGTAGAGACGAAAAGAGTTGTAAACGAACGAGTATATCCTATGGTTAAGCCCGAGAAAGTCATGATTATAACTGACTTCATTACAAAAATGACAAACATACTGGCTGACCGGTTGAGGTGTAGCAGGAACTGCTAAGAAACCTAAAGCTGATAGCCCGGTAACCACGATGCAACGGCGTTCAAGTTACTGACGTAGTCGAATGTGAGCGCTTGTGTTCGACTGGAATTATAACATCACAATTGTATGGTATTCCGAAAGTCTGTCAATAAGACCAATACCAGACAGGTACCATGCACTTGCCATAAAACCGAAGCTAACTGAACGTAACACTGCCCATGTTGGCTAGTAACAATTTTGAGATTATTGACGCGATTGAGAGGCTGAACGCAACTGGAGAAAAAGTACCTTCACTCGAAGCTACATCTCTTTTTTTCGTTTGGTGAATATTGTGATGAGCTAGACATTGGCACTGTAGGTGATGATTCGAAAGAATTTTTAATCACGTGAGCGCATAATATGCAGTTTCAATTCAGCTGTCGGTTCCATAAACAGAAGGGTGGCACCAACATGAGGCTTTCCTTTGACCTGTTGCTAGATAGTACATTCAAGGGATTCTGTTGTTGAAAAATTCACCAATCAGTAGTGCTATGGCGACTATCTAAGAGCCATCGTCCCAGCTGAACACAACACTAATGAGATTCTGATAGAACCTAGTCACGCACACTCGGATATCGGATTTATTCTAGAGTCAGAAAACTGGAATTGCATTGAATTTCTAGACGCTAGAACACTTGAAAGAGCAATGCGCAGGGAACAAACCCGGAAAAGGCGATATATGGATTTTGATAGCCTTGTTTCCTTGAGCCAAAAGAGGTATGTTATATACCGTCTGGCCGATTGAGCAACGGGTTGGTGCGTGAACGGGGCGCGAAAACCGAGTTTGGACGATACGAAATTATCTAGACTCAGAAAGACTACCCAACCCTTGTTTACAGAAAACATAGGAAAGAAACTGTTTTTATCTGTTTGCCCATCAAAGGCAACTTGGAGCTCAGTTGGCACCACATACGATCCGAGAAGGCATTACGCGGACGATGCCAACAGCAATTTACGGTCAATCTTTTAACTGAAACGTTTTATGATCAGGTGACCAAAGCATAAACTGCAGCGATCTTGAAAGGCTTTCGCGTATATTCATCCCAATGTCCGTGCAGGACACTTGGGTGGTACAAGAAGGTGTTTGCCCAAACGTATTTGTAAACATCGCCTATTTTGGACAAACCGTGAAATGAAAAGCTTCGCCCCGGTTCACTTGCCATCGACGGAAATCATAGTAAAATTCAGATGACGTACGAAGTTCAGTTGACAGCTCTGAGTTTACTCAGCCTCGGTGGTTCGTTGCGGCCGAGGAGATAACACCCAACAGCGAAGACATGACCGATGTGTACAAAAACAGTTCATATGGGAATTGAAACTCAGTAAGCCGGTAAGAAATGCAAGTGAGACCAGAAACCCGAATATGTATTGCATGACATCGAACTTTGCTTAATGGATATTGAGCAAATTATTGTCAAACAGTTAATACCTAATACAAAATTATCCTTTTGGAAGTGACTGTTTGGTGAAACTCCGGGTTAACCGTGGGCTAGGATTCAGCGTGATTAGAATGTGTTACTATATTGCTACACCTGGGAAGAGCCATCTCAAGTTTGGGAGAAACTGTGTGCCTTTGCACCGATAATTGTGGAGAAGGAAAAGCAGTAAGATGAGCGAAAACATAATCGTTCAGCTGTTACACCCTTTCGGTGCCTAGTTGCCATGCCACCCGAAAGCAGGAAGAGGGCTGGGATACTGCCAGGTTGCCCAAGCCTAGACAGGGGACCGGTAAGTAAATTCGCGCTCTAAGTACTAAGCCATCTCGCCCTGAAGAAGAAGCAATAAGAGGCTGAAGGTTTCGTTGTCTGGAATACTGCTTCTGGACACCTGAAAAGCCCTGGATTATAAGCGCACATGACGAATTCCAAACTGCGGCTCTTGGAATGCAGAAGCATAGACGTTTTACAGCCCTATAAGAAATTGCGTATTCATTAGTGCAGAAGCATAGACGTTTTACAGCCCTATAAGAAATTGCGTATTCATTAGCAGACCATTCGAATAACAACTAAAGCTGCTATGTTCTTGAATGGGAATTTCACAATACTCCCTATTGTCAGGACCACGCGGAACCATTTCCAATCACAGTTTGGATCTCAAATTCATTGGACCGGATAAAATGTTGGCTTCAAAATACTGGTACCCAACGACAAAAGGGAGGCTATGAACAACTGAAAAAGGAATGATGGATTGGCGATTTTCAGGCCGAGCATTGTACTAGTTCTCTTGCATAGAACTTAGCAGATTTGTTTGGGATATTGGAATGTCCGGATTACTACATCACGTGGGGGATCGATCAAGTGTTGTTTTGGTTGACAGTTTTTACCGCCTAGGGCAACACTGCAAGAACAATGACCACATTTACGCACCCTTCGAACGCGAATCGTGGCGGTTTCTTTTTTCCACCAATGCAAAAGACGCGTAGATGGTGAATTACTTCTCAGAACTGATTACATTTTGACCATATGACCACCGCATTCAAATCCAAACTTCACTGACTAGGTGCACATCACTTTCTACGAGAGCCGTGATGCATGCCCAAAAGGACCGCTATCCAGCATTCAGATTTTCTAACAAACTCTTTACATAGACTGAAATTTGAGATCACTTCAATTAAACATGGGGACTTTTAAGCTAGCATATTTTCGTTACAGTATTTTGCGTTCGGTCCGTTGATCGATCAGTTTTATCGGCTCGATGTCTCCCCAGTACTAAAATCCAAACGTGTAATCACGTGCATTCTCAGTTTCACTCCGTTTAAGGGACATTCATTCATTAGAGAATAAGAACCTGCTAGGGCTCAACGAACAGTAATTTGAGTGTTGCGAGGACATATATGATAATCATCCTAAGTAGAAGGATGACAGATGAGGTACATCAGTGAGCAACACATCATCCACAACTGTAAAGTGAATAAACTAGGTACAAATTCGATAGACAAACTTAAAACCGCTCTCCCTTATGCGACTGAACCATTGCAGAGAAAAGACAAAGTTCGTAGAGTGTCAACACCTCATCTTCATCGAAAAGCAACACAGTACTGGACGGAATCCAGCTAGGTCAGGACAAATTAACATGTACCTAGGTCCTCCATAAGTGTAAAACCGGTTGACGTTGGGTGATTGGCTTGGGATAATTAAAAGTTAGCGGTTTCAGAGTAAATTTTTGAACCATGTTCTGGGGTCAAACAACGGCTTGAATATGCTTCACGATCGGACACTAAAAATCCGTATTCTCACGACGGCGTTTAGGGAAAAGTAGAGTATACAAATAATTTTATCACAGCTTATAGGCTGCCATTGGACTTACTTACCACACGTTACTTAACTCTTCCTTTCATGCACCGGAAGCGTTCATTTCGATTCCGAAGAAGAAGCATCCAAGCAGATCGACGGCGTGACAATATTTAGTCCACTCGAACCTGTTTTAGCATGCTTTTCTAGGATTGGTTGAATGTAAGCTACATAACAACGTTTCCTTAACAACTCGTCATAAACGGTTTGTAGATTTTATCGCAGAAAATTGTTCGCAATACCCTGAGTGACGAAATAACACGGAATATTCAGCCGAATCAAATATTTTTACTGTCCGAAAGTTACCGATTTCTGACACTTTTACAGTCTCACGAAACAGTTTATTCCAATCGATCTGTACATCATTGGATTGAACGCAACAACGCTCTTGTAGTTTCAGACACACCAAACGCATGGCTGGTAATATCAAGTAGTTAGTGTATCGTTGGCCTATGTGGATCCAATTTTCAAGTGTTACTGAAATAAGATAAATGAAGCGTGCATTTAATCCGTAAGTACCAGTTGAGTTTCTACTCCCGATTTCCTTCACGGGAAACAAAAAAGTCTGACCACGGCTGCTGTCTAGGAAGCACCCGGAGAAATGTATTACTTTCTAGAGCAGACTAACATCACAACACGACAAAATTCACACAATTAAAGAGAGAGAAAGATGACCACTTTACCACAACCGTAAGACAAGTAGGTAAATTAACCCAAGCACTACAACACATAATGTCCAACGTCTATCTCTCACGCCACACGTCAGTTCACCTATAATTGTGATGACATCCACATCGACAGAACATCAACTTGAACCAACCCCGTAAGATGAAGCTTGCTAGCTGAGCCCTCTGGCCGATCAGTCGACCAAAGGACGGCAAGCCTGAATCAGTGATCGTGCAAAACATCCAAACAACCGGGTCGACCCCTTGAACATCATTCAGGGTTTTGTTCCGAAATCCTAATGAGAACACGTTAGCGTTTAATGAGGTCGTGCTGATCAGTCACTATAGACTGATTCTACACACTTGTCTTGGCTGTAGCACACTGAACGTGATTGATTTATTGGCTGACCGTTTCCATCCACTATTGTATTGCTTGTCATGTCGTAAACTGCTTGTTCTTAGTACATGCTTGACAAAATAAGGGCGAGATGCATACGCCCTGATGACTTCGTCATTGTACTAAAATAATTCAATTTAAGAAACCAAGCTTAGGAAATGTCGATCATCCGGATGAGGAACGAATGAACAAAGGAAAAGTAAGGAGTGTTTCCACCAACAGTTATTCGGAGGAGTGCCGTGTGATTCTCATAGCCACTTTATGTGGCTATTCTTGGGAAAACGCTGCCTCACTGTGTTGCATTCGAACTATTCTACATTCCACGGTAGAGTCGATTGGATAATCCGGATCGCCATGTTTCGCTTCTACTATTAAGAGTGGAGGAGAACAAGAGACTATGGCCAGTGTGCCTGTGTTGCAATCATCGGTTGTTTTATTAAAATTCTTTTGTGCCGGTATAACAGCATGCTGCAATTGCCCTCATGATCTGAGCTGTAATCTCTTGTGGGACATCGATATGGACTCAACAGAGGATTTCGGTGAATCGAGGAATTCGCTCGTTCTGAAGAGAACTCGTAGCAACCGAGCTTTTCGCTAGAGCTTTGTGGTCCTGTTGAACAGATACCTCACTTCGTGACGCCCCCGAGTGCAAGAATGGTAGGAAGAAAGATCCCCAATACACTGACAATTTGGATCGCACAGATTGTGCAAAAGCAGGACTGGTTATTTACATCGGTCCTGAGCTGTACCCGAGACAGTCTCACGGGATAACCAGAGTTGGCCACTGCTTAGCTCGCTCTGTGTAATAGCCATCAAACAGTGTCACCTCCTGGCCCCAAAACTGGTTTTACCCACGGAAAGGTTCGGCGTGTCAAAACCGAAATGGAAACAGCAAGACAGCTAATCCTGAAAGTACCCATTTCCAACAGAAAGGTGGTCTTTCGAACTTAGTTCACGCATAGTAGCGTAGTATGATGAGCCGTGATTCAATCTACTTTGGACGGTACGATGTTGGTCATGAAAAGTCACGTCTAGCACCAACGCACGCCTGGCATATCGAGATGTTTGGTGTGTTAAGGCGGTTCGTTTGTTGCAGGTTGGTAAACGAAATTATGTTGCTTACCTTGCCAAAAGCTGAAGAAGATTATTGCCTTCATGGTGGCGAATTTGAGCAGCGGTTTGAATGGTCGCAGTTGATCTCGTGTTGCAAAGTAGAATAACAGCAGACCATATAACGCCAGTGTGACAGTAAAGTTGTTGATCAAAAATAGGTACAAATAGCCTGAATTAGGGCTTTTAGAGAGGGGGGTGGGGGAAGAGACAGCAAGAGACTCGTTACCAAAAGCAGTAGATTATCCGATAAGGTAGTAGTTGCTACTTACAGGGATTCTGTAAGGACACTGAGCAGAAAAATAGGAGAGAGCTGGGTTTTCTCTCCAGCGACAGAATAGGATAGTTTTATTCCAGGTAACCAAAGACGGATTCAGATTGGAAGAAAAAGCAAACGGATTCTAAAAATTTCCAACAAACTTCCTGTATGCTTATTAGGAGAGGGTTTATACGCCCAGTGAGTTGAACTATTTATGTTGGCCGTACGTCTATTCGAAGATCTACACATCCAATCGTGAACGTGCTTGGCAAAGCACGATATGAAAGCCATCGATGTGCACTTCAGATAACGTACTACTCTGGTTTGGAGGCAGAAAACTAGCCTAGGTAATTGTGTTGGTGACTTCAAAGATATCAAGCGGGTTGAATGAATCTTCAAGGCTGATTAACACGAGGCCACGTTTGCTGAAACATTCATATGGGGCACAATTTTCCCTTGAACAACCCTCTTCGTAATGGGTTCCCGTTTAATAAGACAGTATGGCTAAGAACGGTATTCGTGTGGCCCTTCTCCAACGTAAGTGAACAAGAAACGCTCGAAAGTCCTAAAATGATAAAAATCCAGAAAAATGGCAGGAAGCGCTTCTGAACAGTAACAAGAACTTTTACCTAGTGAAAACAGGTGTTTTTTCCAGAAAGCTCTCGCATTTGACCCATTTACATAGGTTCAATTGTTTGATGGGTATACTAGGTGTCGTCTGAAGTTTAATTCAACCGTTATCATACAACCGAAGTCAAACTTGCCTCAGTGTTTTCAAACTATCCATGTCCGAGTATCAGCGACGGAGCATTGGCCAAATACATATTTTAACTATCACCCACTTCTACAAATACACTCCTTTGCAAATCAATTTGGTTTTCATGGAAGACTCAAGCGAATCTTTCGTTTATTGTGTTCTTCAACTGAATGTGCTGCAAACGGGCCGCCTCATGTTTCAGTTGGCACGATATTCGAGATATCGCAGTCTATTTTCATAAAGGAAACTACTCACAGGATCGCTGAAAACTCTTCGACAGCCCACGATCGGTTTCGCCCTTCTTGGGGTGCATCAGGTGGGCACAGTGCCCGAGTTTCCGTCAACCACATGTTCTACTTGAACCAATATTAGACTGATCTCGACCACTTCTCTTCACCCGCCACCTAAGTTTAAACCTTAAAGAAGACATAGTTTTCAAAAATAATCACAGAGGATAATTTTGAAGCCTGAGATTATACTGCATTCTTGTTTAGACAACACATGTTCCAAAATTATGGTAAGAGCCGGGAACGAGGGGAAAGGATATCATAATAGGTCATCTGCCAGGAATGTATGCTGCGCTGGCCAATAATAAGACCAAGGGGTTGAGGACTACCAACCACATAATGTTTATATAGGCTGGGCCTTGGTACCTCCCTGGGTGACACCTAAAATGACATGCCAGTTTTAAAGAGACATGTGAGACATATGATACCCCATTTGTGGGAGTCCATCTGCTTGCCTGACCACCCTATGAAAAATAAATGGGTCTCCATCCCAAAGCAACTCGTCCCCAACCAAAATACCACTGGAATCCTGCGGCTTCCAAAGCATTACTAGACTAACCTGTAGTAGTTACGGATTCTACTTAGCGATTGGACATCTTCATACACACATGTAAGCATTCCGATCGCTCGACAATGACACTAAGGCTGACCTGCACACGCGGTAATCCGCTCGATATGTGAATGCCATAGAGGATCACGTAACCAACATGAAGCGAATACTTTACGGTTCCGTCACTCAGTTTACACACACAGTACGTACCCCATGAAAAAAAATGATGTCCGAGCAAACATCTTGCAGCCACTGGGTCAGTTTCCCCAACATCTATTAAATGGCTGACCTAATAAGCAAAAATTCGGAGGATGTGGGACACATTTCACCAAGGAATTTTGTGAAGCTTCCAAAAACATAAAAGCTACTGGATCTTTACAATAAAATATTTTCAAATATCTCTTTAAAGTGAGCACGTCAACATTGTCAACTAGGGTACGAAGCTGGGTGGCCTGAACCCAGTTATCAGCTTCCGGGTCCACAACTAGAGATATGTTTGTCCTGCAAAATCCCCCCAAAAAGTGCTTCTCTAGAGAACTTTTTAAACACAGCATTCTTTGGAAATACGAGCAGATGTTTTGTAGCCAGCCTATAGCGCGTTATCGAAAAAAAAAACCAGAAAACTTGCTTGCATTCGGTCACCATGTGTTCATGCCGACAGTTTCAGTAACATGTAGGTGACGGCAGTGACAGAAAAAGTAGAATAAGTGCATGCTAAAATTAGCCTTTCAGCAGCAACTGAAGTTAGACAGTACTTGTGATATGCTCAGAAAACAGCTGTTTTTTACATACTAGCTTTTTCCTGGGATTTCTCATAAGCTACCTAGATAAGGTGAGTTAATAAGAATCCCAACGTGTCTTGATGTAAAGCTATGGGAAGACTCGACGACAATTTAAGATGTCTCGTTCAAACCCTGAAAGCAAGCGCAAATTAGTTTAGAACCTGATGGAACACCTCTATTCCGCATCTTTGAATTTTTGTTGATACACTAGAATTATTGTCGCGTTATCTCAAGAATTTCATGTAGAGTGAAAACATGGTGAAAAATCATGAGTGAAAACATAGTGAATTCCTGCTTCCTACCATTGGCAATTCCAGTTAAGGGGATAGTGCGATGGTTCAACATTGCCTTCTGATGGTGGGGTTGATAAACGTTTTGTCAAACCATTTTCGATTTATTGCTTACAATCACAATAAACCCCCAGAACTTTCGATAACCTGGGAAGAGGGCTCGAAAACCGATGCTCCTTGTACATCTTCCAATAAGTATGTTATTCATCAGCTACGCAAATGCGGAAAACACTTTCATGGACTATTCGACATCCGATCTTGCGCACTTGGGTTTTTTAAAAACTTCAAAATCGGTCTGCAAGCATCTCTTGTTTTGAGTGGATCAAGCACTTTACAGCATAACACATAACAATATTCTGTGTGTAGTTAAGTAAAGCATTCATTCTGGTTTGAAAGTAACCATTAAGTCTGAAGGGCTTTTCTTTTCTTGGGCTACCGGAAAGTCTTCATTAACCTCATTAGTAGTGTGTTTCAGAATTCTGTTTGCCAGACAACTTAAAACTTATCCAGACTTTGCGGGCTCGTGCCAAGCACTTTGACGTATCCGAGAGGTGTTCTAAAAAGTTTCAATTGGTCTCTCCCTCTCCGTACAGAGGCTCAAAACTGAGGATTCCATACAGAAACATATGAACAGGGAGTTCGACCTAGTTTGCAAATTAGGACGGCGTATTCGAATCGCATCCAAAATTCGTTTGTATTACTACCTAAGTGAATGTGCTGCACAAATGCCACCTCACGTTCCATTGGGAACGGCATCGCATGGCAGTGCCCATGGCTGAAAAGCTTGCAACAGGCATTTGTACAGCATTTTGGATTGGTGAATATTAAGGATGGCAAATCCGGCTGCGGTTCAGTTGATTTGCGTATCAGCACCACTTCATTCGCAAATTAATGTGAGGATATGCCCACATCCAGGAACTAAATCTGCATGATGAGCTGCAAAAATCCAGAACCCGTAGTAGGCATTTTAGTGCGTTCTCATCAACATTGCGAATAATGTCATACCATGCACTATACACCGTTCAGTTCACTTGTCAGTGAATCGTGAACCAACTTTTGACCTCAACAGATGGTTCAAGATGACCCAGAGGTTAAGGCGCGAACTCCCCGACCGGAACGTCCATCGATCGAACTCAAGACTAGCATCCCTAACACTTGGGCAACCTGACAGGATCTTAGATCTCGTATTTCTTCGTGATGTACGGTAGCTCAACACTGAACGTGTGTTACGACCGAAGTTATTTTTACTTTGACTGCCAGTCTACGCTACATCAGTATACTTTCGGATATTGCATAGCTGACAGCTTATCTTCTGGTTGCCCGGGAGTAACCATGTCCGGTGATAACTGTCCAGCTGGTTGGTATCTAGCTATCATGCCTCTCGAAGGAAGCACGAGGGCTGAGATACTGCCAGGTTGCCCAAGTCCAGAAAGAAGTCGAGACGCAGAAGCCGGGTTCGAACCACGGACAGGATTTGTTGACTTTTGACTTCCTTGATTTTCATGTACCACCGAATCATGGCCGATGTTCCAAAATAGGCAGCATAGGAAAATTATAAAATACCCCATTTTTCTCGGGCACCCAATAATTAGGATAATGAAGTTCGGTATACTCACGTCTGTGCCCATCACTAAAGGAAACGTATTTGGCTTGAACAAGAACTCGAGCGAAATAGTTTATCGGGAACGAAAGGCCTGGGGGATGTGAAGTGCTGTTAGAACCACTCTCAGCAGCTGACTAATACAACCACACGGTCAACAACCACAGTAACCGCTATTATTGAAAAATGGAGAACAGCTATTACCCTAAGGGCCCAAAGTACGTTCATGCCGTGTTGCAGAGCTGAAATTGCACCAGAAGAGTTAGCCAATGCATGCAAGGCGGATCAGCGCTATCACTGAGAAAATAGGAAGAACAACAAAAATTATCCATAGCTTCGCGATCGTCTCAGTCGAGAAGAAACAAGAGCATGGAGTCTGAATAGGGGTTTCCGATAGGACGAAGTGAAAGTTATCACCTACGACTCAGGAACGCGAGTGAAACCATACCCCAGAGATGTCTCGGTCATACATACGATTGCTGCGTCTTCTGCCTTGCTTATCTCTGCAAAATGTTTTTAATAGAGCTTTCCACCTCTTGCGGGCACTATTTATGACGAATTCATTGAACTGAATCACAATTCAAACCGGAACACGTGTCTTTTGAGATGATTGATTTATTCGTTAACATTCGAAAGTCTCCACTCCATTTTTGAAAGA